CTCACCCCCACTTCTCGCAGCACAGCCATGAATTCAGCGCGCTGTCGCAGGATCTCCTGCTCTTGCACCAGGAACTCGCGGTGCGCGGCCACGATGCCGCGTAGCTGCTCTGGGCGCAGGCACAGACGCTGCAGGATGGCGCGCCAGGTGCCCACGTCCTGGTTCTCCTGCGCGTCGGGGACGCCCAAGTCGCCGCGCACGGCCTGCATGCGCATGGCGTTGTCCGGGAATAGCACCGCCTGCTGCCAGACCAGAAGGCCCAGGCGGCGCAGCAGCACGCCCGCGCCGCGGTAGGCCTCGCGGCTGAAGTGGTACGCGTCGGCGCCGTGCTGGATGACCACACCTTCACGCACCGCCAGGCGCGAGTCGGCGTCGGCCGCGCCGGGGGCCTGCCCCGCCGCCTGCACCAGCGTCTCGGCCACCGTGTCCCACAGCAGCGCGGCGCGCGGGTCGGTGCTGTCCAGGTGCGGCCGCGCGTCGCCGGTGGAGGCGGCGGGTGTGCCGCCGAGGGGCGCAGCCTCGCCGGTCGCCGACGCCGCCGTGTCGCCGCTGGTGGCGCTGCTGGTCGCGCTGGCGCGGGACGCCGCGCCGGAGTCGGACTGCAGCTCGCTGATGTGGGGGGGGTCCCGCGCCGGGCCGGCGGGCTGCGCGCCGAGGGGTGCGCCGCTGTGGCTGCCGCCCCCGGGGGCCGCCCCGGCCCCCCCCCCGGCCGGACCCCTCGGCACCGGGCATGCGGCGTGCAAGGTTGGCGCCGTCCAGCAGGCGCCGCAGGGCGGCCACCACCTGCTGCCAGTCCTCGCAGACCTTATCAAAGGGCGGGGCCTCCTTCACGTACCCGCGCTCGTCCAGGTGCTCGCGGTAGCCCACGGGCGCATAGCGCAGCAGCATCTCCGGCGTGTAGATGCCCGGCACGGTGCGGCTGCGCAGGATGTCCATGATGTCGGCGGGAATGATGATGCCCGGGGGCGGGTCCAGGCGCTTGTGCAGCTCCAGCGCCTCCACCTGCTCGTCCTTGTACTCCAGCAGCCGCTCCAGCAGCGCCTGCTTGCGCCCCGCCGCCTCGGTGCTCAGCTGCGTGGCACGCAGCTCCGCCGCCAGCTCCGCCACCGTGCCCTCTGTCTCCGCCATGCGCGACTTCTGCTTGTCGCGGAAGCGCTTCTGCGCCTCGCGCGCGCGCAGCTGCTTCGTCGTCAGCTGCGCGGTGTCGGCGGGGCGGCGACCGCGCCGCTTGGCGCCGCCCTCGGGCGCGCCGGCGTCGGGCGGGGTCCGGCCCCCGCTGCCGCTGGCGAGGGAGGCGCTGGTGGATGCGGACGTGGTCCCCGCTCCAGGCGCGCCAGGGGCGTGCACCGGCACCATGGGCGGCGGCGCGCCCACCAGCGGCAGCGGCTGCCCTGTGCTGGCCGCTTGCAGCGCGTACCCCTCGCTGACAGTGTACAGGTGGCGGATGTCGTCCTCGGTCAGGCCCGTCATGCCCGCCTGGCGCAGCAGCGCGGCAAACTCCAGCTGCTGCGGGTTCAGGGACGTGGAGCCGGGGCCACGCGGGGCGGTGGCGCCGGGGGCAACGCTGGGGTCCCAGGCCATCGCCCCGGAATCCGCCTGCATGCGCAGCGTCTGCTGGAGCAGGTTGTGGGCCGCGGGGAGGGCCGGCGGAACGGGGGAGGGGACGGGCTGCGTGGGGGGAAAGGGAGGGGGCCAGGGAGGGGCTGGGAATGCACCTCCGGGAGCCATTCTTAACACCGACAGGCAGACGTACCCTCCGTTCAAACGCGTGCGCGGGGGGCGGGCGACAACGAGCCCTCTCTCACCTCCATTTTTACCCAGACAGGGTCGTCGTCCGCCTCCATGGGTCCCGGCGGGGGGAACGGGGGCAGCGGGCCCCCCACGGCGATGCCGGAAAATTCTGGAACCTGCGTGCTACCCCATCGCTCAGGGCCCAGGCCTGCTAAGAGGTTCTCCAAGCTAGCAGATGGTGTCATATGCATCAAGATGGACGCGCGGTGTGCCCGGTGAAGCCTGGTCGCTCCTGCCTTGGGCACCCACAGTACATGGGAAACCCCAGGAGACCAACGAACTGGGATAATCAGGTCCCAGCGGTAGCCTAGAGTATCAAGCAATATTTAAGAGATCGAGTTTAAGGAATAAAGAGGCAGGTCCCGAATTCGGAGGAGGTGAGCGACTCGCGGACTCTCATAGTTGAGAATTCCGCTTGGAAAATGGGGTGCGTGGTAGAGGTGTACCCTCCAACAAAAGAAACTCAATCTCGCACACACTCTGTGCATTCGGCGTACATCTAATGCTCAGACTTGCGTCATACAATGAGGAGGGTCAGGAGTATGGCTGCATGAAGCATGGACAGAGCACACACATAGCTTCCCACTGAGATTCTGACCACCGCTGTATGGCACCGCAGGTACACTCTGAACAGCGCGATCAGGGGACTTTATCAACATAATTCTCCTCTGGTAGGGTTTTGAGACGATTTGCATGACGAGCTACACCCATCAATCTTGCGTTGTCATTGATGGACTGGTGGGTGAACACCTGCAAGCGGTGTGACCTTGAGTAAGCAATGCAAAGCAAAGCATATGGAGCAGAGAATAATATTCCATAAAGTTACGAGGTTGAATGCATGTTCAGTCTTCTGGAGGGCAAGGATCCTTATGGAATGGAGCGCCTGCCTGCTGCATGGCCCGTTTGTGAAGACCTTGGCCGTGGTACCCCATCGATCCTTTTCAGAAAATCGCTGTGCCGTATCCCTTGCACGGTATCTTGCTTGCTTTTATTCGTTGACATTAGAAATATAAATGGGAAGCGTAGGAGAGGCGCCACCTCCTTCCCTGTATCTCTGAGGGCAATCAAGGATGTCGAGGGACTCCAGGTCCCCGACGAGGAGGAGGAGCAGCCGCGGGCGCAGTTCATCTTCGGGGTGCGTTCAAGCTGAATGGATGGGTCTCACGCGCTTGACTGTCTAGTCCCCCCCCGCACTGCAGGTCGGGCCCTCCTACTTCAGCCCATCCTCCTACCCCACCCACCCTCGCAGGAGTTACACCAGCAGCGACGACAGCCGATCCCCGCGGAGAAGGTCCCGTTCTGATTCCCGGAGCCCCGCCAGGCGACGGTGCGTGTGTTCAGGATGGCAGGGAGGCCCTGAGGGGGTGCACTGCAGCCCTGCATAACACAATAGTGGCTGGGAACACCAAGGGCAATGGGTGGGGCCTGACTCCTGGCTTCCCAAGCTCAAAGAATGATTGCTATTCGTGCCCTGTCAGCAGATCCCCCAGCAGCAGTCGTTCCCGGAGTCCGAGCCGTGGCCGGAGGCCCAGTCCAAGGAGACGCCGCTCGCCGAGTCGCAGTCCCGAGGATCGCAGGCGGCGTCAGAGCCCTGCGGAGGCGAGGAGGCGTCACAGCCCAATAATTTTTCGGAGGGATCCCAGCCCCGATGACCGCAGGCGAGGCAGGAGTCCTGTGGAGCCGAGGCGGCGCTCCAGCCCTGGCGCTGGCCCCCGCCGGGACTGGGGCCCGCGCGACCGGCGCCAGGGCAGCGGGAGCCCCGGCCGCCGGCCCCGCGACGACAGGCGCAAGGGCGGCGCCAACGCGGCGCCGGCGCGCGGCCGCGGCGCCACGCGGTATCGCGGCGAGGCCGGCGCCCAGGGCGAGGGCGCCGGCAAAGCCCAGAGCAACGGTGCCGGCGCCGCGGCAGGTACCGTGCCGCCCGCGGTCGAGCGCGCCGAGCCAACGGCGGGGCCGGCGGGGGGCGTGTACCTTCCCCCGTTCAAGCTGGCGGCCATGCTGGCGGAGGCGCAGGACACCACCAGCGTGCAGTACCAGCGCATGACCTGGGACGCGCTGCGCAAGTCCCTCAACGGGCTGATCAACAAGGTGAACGCCGCCAACATCAAGCACATCCTGCCAGAGTTCTTCTCCGAGGTACTGTAGTGGGTGGCGGGTGCTTGTGGACGGTGAGGGGGCGGGGGTGCTCATCTTCAGGTTGGGTGGCAGGGTGCTTAGGGAACGGCACTGTGCCTTGGCCTCCAGATCACTCAGGGGCATGTCAGCAGGACCACACCCTCCGCGTGCCGCCTTTCCCCGAGAATGTCCCCCATCCCCCCTCCAACACACACCCCTCCAGAATCTGGTGCGTGGTCGGGGCCTGTTCTGCCGCAGCCTGATGAAGAGCCAGATGGCGTCCCCCTCCTTCACCCCCGTCTACGCCGCGCTGGTGGCGGTGTTCAACACCAAGTTCCCGGAGCTGGGCGAGCTGCTGCTGCACCGTGTGGTCACCCAGTTCCGCCGCGCCTACAAGCGTAACGACAAGCCTGTCTGCCTGGCGGCCATCAAGTTCCTGGCCCACCTGGCCAACCAGCAGGTGGCGCACGAGGTGCTGGCCCTGGAGGTGCTCATGCTCCTGCTGGAGACGCCCTCCGACGACGGCGTGGAGGTGGCCGCCGGGTTTGTCACCGAGGTGGGGGCCCTGCTCCAGGACCTGGCGCCCCAGGGGCTCAATTCCGTCTTTGACCGATTCAGGTGGGAGGGATTGGGTGGGGTGGGGGTGGGGGTCTCATGAGTGATGGGGGGATGATGCAAGAACAAGGGCCTGTGCCCCCATCAGTGGAGGGACCGAGCCAGGGGTGTGGATGTTAATCAACCGCCGGGGTGTGGTGTAGACGGCTTGGAGTTGCCTGCCATGCCTGGGTGCAAAAGGTCTTTCCATCGAGCAGACTATATGCAGCATCAAACGCCTCGAACTCCACTGCCCCAGCTCACGTTTCCGAGCTGTATTTGACCCCGGGCTCCAACCCCTCACTCACAGGGCCATCCTGCATGAGGGCAGCATTGACAAGAGGACTCAGTTCATCATAGAAAACCTGTTTGCCGTGCGCAAGGCCGGCTTCGAGCAGCAGGGGTGAGTGGGTGGGTTACACTGGGGTGAGGGCACCACGAGGAGGAGGGGTGTTGCTGGGATGTCTGGATGGAGGGAAAGCAAGCTTGTGCGGACCTGCTACCGGCAGGGGCTGGGCCCAAGGCTGCTCTCCTGCCCTGCAGGCGATGCACTCTGGGGCAGGATGTGAGGCGGTGCCTTCCCGTCCCCGGCCCTACATTCTCACGCCTGCCCTGCCCAAGCCTCCCCACCACCTCCCTGCCCCCACAGGCACCCCGCGATTCCCGCGGACCTGGATCTGGTGGAGACAGAGGATCAGATCACTCACGAGGTGTCGCTGGACGACAAGCTGGACACCCAGGTATGGCCGCGCGGGAGAACGGAGAATGCACTGGCCTGTGATGGGGAAGAGCGTGTGTGTGTGTGTGTATGTGGTGATACTCGACGAGGGGAGCGAATGACCCTCGTTGAGGCTGGAGAGGGGTACTGCTCAGCCGTCGTGCCTCGAGGAAACCCCACACTCCTCATCATACCCCTTGCACCCTATTTGCTGGCTTTGCAGCACCCTGCCTTGATTGTTCAAGCCAGTCCTCCCGTCTCAACACCCCCCCCCCACCACCACCACTCCACCCACCCTGCACAGATGATGCTGGACGTGTTCCAGGAGGACCCCGACTTTGCCCAGCATGAGGCCGAGTACCAGGCGATCAGGCGTGAGATCCTGGGTGAGGAAAGCGGGGACGAGGAGGAGGAGGAGTCGGGGAGCTCCTCTGGCGAGGAGGAGGAGGACGGGGAGGAGGGCGGGCACGCCGCTGGGCCGTCGGGCGTCGGGGGCCCCATCTCCGACCAGACGCAGACGGACCTGATCAACCTGCGGCGAACCATCTACCTCACCATCATGTCTGCCCTGGACTTTGAAGAGGCGGGACACAAGCTCCTGAAGATGGTGGGTTTGTTGGGGAGCTGGCAGTCATCGTCGCCATCCTTGCAATGGTTAGGAGGGTCGATGCCTTGCTGGGGTGAGAGGGGGTGCCATGCGCAAGCTGCCGGACAGTGCGATGGGGTTGCAGTGGTGGCGTAAATCGAGACCTCGGCGCCCAAGGTCTGGAACTGTGGGTTTGAACCTGATGACAACACATGGGCACCTCCATTGTCTCTTACTCAAGTGAAAGGAGCCTCCTGTGCCTCATGCTTCCCCACAACCCTCCTCCCCACTTGCAGGGCATACCTGCCGGCCTGGAGATGGAGCTGTGCACCATGATCATCGAGTGCTGCTCCCAGGAGAAGACCTTCATAAAGTGAGCTGGCGTACCCACTTGTAGATTGTCTGTGATGTTGCTCGAAGCCTGCAGCGTGCATTACAGGAGACCTGCCATGCAGGCGCCCTGCAGCAAGGGCTGCCATGCACTGGCAGTGCCGAGGTGCATCAGGCAGCTCAAGCACATAATGACCGACATCTCGGCATGAACTCCCGCCTGACCATGGTCCTCACAAGCCATACCCTCCCAACCTCCCCCCCTTCAAAAATGCACCACAGGTACTACGCGCTGCTGGGGGAGCGCTTCTCCAAGCTCAAGCGCGAGTACTGCGACTGCTTCTCCGAGTGCTTCGTGCGCCAGTACTCGCTCATCCACCGCCTGGAGACCAACAAGCTGCGCAACGTGGCCAAGCTCTTCGCCCACCTGCTGGCCAGCGACGCCATCCCCTGGTCCGTGCTGGAGGTGGTGCGGCTGACGGAGGAGGACACCACCTCCTCCTCCCGCATCTTTGTCAAGATCCTGTTCCAGGAGCTGGTGGAGCAGCTGGGCCTGCTGGGCCTCAACAAGAGGCTGCAGGACCCAAGCTGTGCCGCGTGGTACACCGGCATCTTCCCCACCGACAGCCCGCGCAACATGCGCTTCTCCATCAACTTCTTCACCTCCATCGGGCTGGGAGGTCCGTGGGTTGTGGGATGGAAAGCGGGGCGCTAGGGTGTGTGCTTTTGTCTTGGATGGGAGTAGAGCTTCGGCCCCCCAAAATCCCAAACCTTGCTGCGGTGGTGGACTTGACTGCCCTCAGGTCCTTGCTGCCCCAACCACGGCTACCCTCCCAACCTGCCACAAACCCCCGCACCCAACACCGATCCCACAGGGCTGACGGATCGCATGCGCGAGACGCTGAAGAACCTGCCGGCGCTCATCGCGGCGCAGCGGGCTGCAGCAGAGGCGGCCAAGAACGACGCCTCCTCGTCCTCGGACGATTCGTCATCTGCATCATCTGGCGGCTCATCATCCTCAGACGACTCCTCGTCGTCAGGCGGCTCCTCTTCCAGCGACTCCTCGTCGTCCTCCTCCTCCTCATCATCGTCATCTGGCTCCGACAGCAGCAGCAGCGGGTCGGAGTCGGAGGCGGAGGCGGCCAGGCGCGCGCGGCGGAAGCGGGGTGATGACGGCAATGGCAGGGCGGACCCCTCCAAGAAGTCCCGCAGGCGCTGAAGGCATCAATGAGTTTTCTGCTCTGCTGCAGTGCTCCATGACGTCGGCAACTGCACTGCTTGGCATGCACCACCGGATCTGTTCTTGCGACTGCCTCCAGACAATGCCAGGCGGAATAAAGGGTGGTGGGAAGTCCAAGCAAGTACTTAAATCTCCTTGCCCTGCCCCTGGTACCTCTCAACCTCCTACGCTGCACGGCACCTCTTCGCTGATGTCTACAGGATTTGAGCAGTGCAGTGCAGAGCCAGTGCGCCGGCGCATGCTGAGGAACGTCCGCCTGCCCCGACTCAGCACTCTCTTGGCCGCCGCTCCTGACACCGGGCCACGGCTGCGCACAGGGCGCCAGGGCGGCTCACTACCGCCCCTGCGGACCGTTCTCCTGCACACCTCCCTGCCCCCTGGGGGCCGCCCGCGAGACGCTCAGGTGCTGGCGGCCACGCCCACGACGGCGCGCGTCTCCGGGTCGCGCGCGATGCCCTGCGCCGCGTCGTGCTCGGGGTCGCGCGCCGCGCGGTCCTCGCGCCGCGCCTTGTCCAGCTCCACCGCGTTGAAGCCCTTGGCATTCTCCGCCGCGTGCACGGCGGCCAGGCGGGCGTAGTCCTCCGCGGCGGCGGCGATGAACTCGGCCTCGCCGGGGGCCAGGTCGCGCAGGAAGCGGGCGGGGCTCCCCGCCCAGACCTGGCCCGAGGGGACCACAGTGCCCGGGGTGACCAGCGCGCCGGCGGCCACGATGGACTCGGGCTCCACCACCGCGCCGTCCATGACCACCGCGCCCATGCCGATGACCACGCGGTCGCCCAGCGTGGCGGCGTGGATCACCGCGCCGTGGCCCACTGTCACGCTGGACCCGATGCGGGTGGGCAGCTCCTGGTGCGCAGCGTTGTGCTTGGCCACATGCACCAACACGTTGTCCTGGATGTTGGTCTTCTCACCCACGCTGATGCTGTTCACGTCGCCTGGGATGGTGCGTGTGTGTGTGTGAGGGTGTTGTATGAGGAGGGGTGATGTTGAGTGAGTTGGCAGTGAGCCGCTTGCAGGACATCCTGCCGCCAGCACCCCCCTACGCCCCAATTCCTTCCATCACCCCCCAACACCAGCTCACCTCGGAGCACGGTGCCGTACCACACGGAGCTGCCGCTGCCGAGGGTGACATTGCCGATGACGCTGGCGGAAGGGGCGATGAACACGCTGTCCGCGATAGCCGGCTTGGCGCCAGCGTATGGGAGCACCGTCTGGGCCTTTGACACTGCAGGGCAAGGGTGGTGTGGGTCGTCGCGGGGCTATTCAGCCAGCCCTCGCAATATGCATGTGCCATCACGGTTGCCTTTTATTCCCCGATCCCCGCTCACGTGTCTCCCGGTAGCCGAGGGAGCCTTGCAGTGCCAGGCCCAGCGAGTCGATGGCCTTGCCGGTGCTGCGCACCACCGAACCCAGGGACTTGAGCCACCCCGCCATGCTCTACGGAAGCCTCCAGGCACAGAAATCAGGGGGTCACCCTGCCGGCGTCACGCACAGCCGGGCAGGCACTGCCGCGAGCGACGCACACCACCGACAGGGACAGGGGTGCGGAGGACAGGCCCTTCTTCCCAGCTCGAATGTACACCAGTACAAAGCAGAATGGGTCTGTGACAATATGGATTGGTGTCAAGAGACGCCTTGCCCTGGTGCAGGCAGGGTTTACAGGTGCGGGGGGGTGCAAACCCCTCTTTACTTTCCAGCTATTGCGCACTGTGCTCTTGTTGACTCTCGCCGACGCGTGTGGGCATCCTGAAGGCCCCTGCCGGAAGCAAGGGCTCCCTCCACCCTCGTAAACGGTCTTGAAAGACTGTCGATCCGTCCCTCGGAGCAGTCTGGTGCAGCAGGCCTCTTAGGGATACAAAGGTATCCGGCACCTGCCGGTGCTGGAGAGCCACAGGGCCCCCGCGATCCCGATCACATCGGAATTGCGTTGAATTCGTGTCGCCGAAGCACGGCAACTACACTTTGGGAGAGCGAGAGGTCTGAGTCGGTGGCCGGGCACTGCCAAACTGCTGGATCGCCATGGACTCCCTGGGCGCGATATATTTTATCAGCGGCAGGGGGGACGTGCTCATCCAGCGAACCTACCGGGATGACATTGAGTGAGTGGAGGGAAGCGACGGAGTGGTAAGACTGCGTAGGTGGCTGATCTTAAAATAGAAGATGGAAACCTGCTGAGTTTGCAGAGTACACACAACCACTTCTCCCCACCTCCCACCCCTCCAGCAAGAACATCCCCGCCGCCTTCCGCACCAATGTCATCAACTCCAAGTCCCTGGACTCTGCCAGCACGGCTCCCGTGCGCCAGTTCATCGGCTCCTCCTTTATCCACCTCCGGGCGGGGAGCGTGTACCTGCTGGCAATCACGCGGACCAACTCCAACGCCATGATGATCCTGCAGTTCCTCAGCAAGGTGGTGGACCTCATCAAGTCCTACTGCCATGGCGACTTCAACGAGGAGGTCATCAAGGCCAACTTTGTGCTCATCTACGAGCTGCTGGACGAGATCCTGGACTTTGGCTACCCCCAAATCTCAGAGCCCGCAGTCCTGAAGTCCCTCATCTTCCAAAAGGTGCTGTGGTTTGGGTGGATCAGAGGGTGGGAGTGGGGGCCCGCCGCAGCGGGGAAATGGAGGGAGAAGTGCAGCTTTGTCCATCCTTGAGACGCTGGGGCGGTCGTGAAGGTTCTAGGATCACTGTGTGGGTAAGCAATGGGATGCCATGCAACTCGATAGAATTATTGGACCGCTTCCATGTTCCCAGCCTCCAGCTCTTTCTCTGGCACAATCTTGATTGCAGGGATTTGTGCTGGAGAGCACGAAGAAGAAGAGGGAGGCGGCGGCACAGAACGCGACCCTTCAGGTGGGTGCCTTTGAGTATGTGTGACGTGGTTTGAATATTGAGGTGATGCAGAGACTGATTGCTTGACGATTAGGGCTTGTTTGCTGTTCATTTGGTTATCAGGCTCCGGTTGTTATGAACATGTCTGATCTCCTGCCTCCCTTGCATCCAATCATGCCGTGACCCCTTGCCAAAGGTGACGGGCGCGGTCGGCTGGCGCCAGGATAGCATAAAATACAAGAAGAATGAGGTCTTCCTGGATGCCATCGAGACTGTGAACATGCTTATGAGCGCTCAGGGCAGGTGGGCTGGTGGCAACTTGTTTGACAAGATGAGGTTGATTGGACTGTGTCTGTTGTACAGAATAGAGCATGGACATGTTTCATAACCTCTTAGAGTCTGATCTGGCTTGGATCCTTGGCTGTGCACTCATGTCAACCTCAGTTCCAGCATGTATTTCAACAGAACATGTTCCCTCTTTCCTCGCAGCGTGCTGCGGTGCGACGTCCAGGGCAGGGTGGTCATGAAGTGCTTCCTGTCGGGCATGCCAGACGTCAAGCTGGGGCTGAATGACAAGCTGGAGGTGAGGGTGCTTTCGCGGGGACATGAAAGGGAGTCTGAGAGGATGATCCTAGGGTTCTGTGCATTAAAAAGCTCTGTGTGCGCTGCGCTGCCAGGAACATTCCTAGTCCAAGCGTGGTGCAGGCATTGAAGCTGCCGTCCAGCACTCTTCTCTTCTCCTCCAATCCCTACATGCACCATTTAAAAATTTGGTGTGCAGGACGTCACCTTCCATCCCTGCGTCAACCTTGGGCGGTTCCAGGCCGAGCAAGTGGTGTCTTTCGTGCCTCCAGACGGCGAATTCGAGCTCATGAAGTACCGATGCACAGGCGAGGAACCCTGGCCATGGCCTGGGCGTCAGGTGCATGCCCAGGCCATGGTTTGTGGCATGTCTCATGCCCCTGCCCACCAAACTGGGGCGCAACCCTGTGCACGCACACACCTCCTCACCTCGCCTCCTCACCTCCCCCTCTGGACAGAGGGCATCAACCTGCCCTTCAAAGCTGTGGTCCTGGTCACAGAGAAGGGCCGGACGCGGCTGGAGGTCAGCGTGAAGCTGAAGAGCAGCTTCCCCTCCAACCTTTTTGCCACCAACGTCATCGTCCTCATCCCCATGCCGGAGCAGACAGCGCGTGCCAACTTCCAGCTCAGCACAGGTGCTTGTGTGTGGTTAGGGGGGGGGGGCGGGGGGGGCG